TATTTAACTTTGAGTTTCCTCATTCTTATTGATGTCGTGTTTTATTTATTCACTTGAGTTCAATATTCTCAGTAAGGTGCTGGATCTTCAAAAGAAATCTTCAGTCACAGCAGAGTTCAATCAAATCACATTTCTGCAAGTTGTCTTCCAAGGTTAAAATTAAAACATTATACTTATCATCTCTGGACGTGGAATGGAAACGAGATGATCATGGAACTCCTTATGGAAGTGTAAAGCAGAAAGTTGATGATTTTTCAATTAATATTGTTCCTTTAAAATTATGATAATTTACAACTACCTGCTAACCATGTACCTAAACTAATTTTCACTTCACTTTTCTGCATTTCACATATACTTCAGAACACCTCGAAGAGAAAGCTCAAGTGAGACAATACTTGGAGGCTGCTAAGAGATCTCATTACCCTTTGTCTGGTAAAGCTGACAGATGAAATGTTCCACTTTTTCAGTGAATCCTCAAGGATTTATTTAAAAGATTATGATCTCGTACTTTACTGCATATGGAGTTTCAATGCTGGAAATGTAAGAACACTGTGAATGTAAGAAGTTTTAGCACATCTGTGCTTCATAGCTGCTAAATTCATCAGTGACTCCAGGTCACAGCCTGTGACAGTTTGCATCCTTGTTAATGAAATCTCATTAAAACTGGCAACTGCTCCAGAATGTGAAAGGCCAGTTTTCTCTTGGCCTAGTTTAATTTTCAAGGGTTAGCAGAGGTGAGACTCTGAACTCAAGAAGTGAGTGGGCAGGATGCTGGATAATATAATCTAGACTCCCTTTCCCATGAAAGGGTGGGCCAGGTGATCTTTGAGGCCCTGAGCTCTGTGATTATTCTGTGATGAGTTCTGGAAATGCCCTGATTGAATGTTGTTTTAAGGGTATTTGCTTCCACAGGCAATTATTTGAGTGAGTGCAACGGGTGAAATTTTTCATTTCTCATAATTTTATAGGTGAAGCATTTTATCTTATAATGTTTGCTGCATGCAAACATGTCCTCCTAGTGCAAGAAAAGCTTAGAAAACCTGAAGAGAGAAAACCACAGTGACTGTAGGACTGGTGTGCAGAATGAGAGAAGAGACTGAAAGAGCTGGGTTTGTGTAACTTAACTGCAGGATGAGGGGGAATCTAATTGCTGTCTGCAGGTACATAACAATTTTATAGATAGCAGACTCTTCCTGGAAAGGGGCAGAGAACAGATCGCTGTGGCAAGGGAAATTCTGATTTAATTTCAGAAGAGTGCTTTTCACAGTGAGAGAGGTTGCTCAAAGAGTCTGAAACTTTTACCCTGGAATATATTCATCACTTGACTGAGAGCTCTTGGCAAACTTATGCACCTTTGAAGTTTGTTTTGAGCATTGGGTTCAGTGTCAGAAGCTCTTTCCATCCTAAAGTATTCTAGGGTCCATGAGTTTCTGGGTATGAATGATCAGGTAAGAAGTGTTTAATGTGCACTTTCAATATTTTCTGGTCTGGGAAGACTTGCTAAGTGGTCACAGCCCTACATGGAGAAGACTGCCATTCTAAATGAGAGCAACTCAGATACAGAAGCACTATTTCTCTTCTAGATTATTCTATTACGACAGTTTTATAGACCAACTTTTATAGTTTCTAGACTTTCAACAGTGTATATATTTAATTGTGGGTATTTTGAACTTATTTACCAATAATAACAATAACATTAGCAATAATAATTTTTTTTTCAGAATTCAGCAAACGTACATAAATATGTTTTACAGGAAGCCTCAAAATTGGAGAAAATACAGGCACAGAGAAGAAGTCTATTTTCTGATTAGTTTTGGGGGGGGGGGGGGGGGGGTTGTTGGGCTGCTTTTGGAGTGAATACCAAGAGACTGTTGTGAGTGAAATTTATTGTTCTCTGACGGGCACTCTCCAGACAATAAAGGGAATAGATTCTATTTTGAAATCAATGTTTGCAATTTTCTGCTTCTCCTTCAAATACAAAGAGCACAATCTTTAAATTTGCAAAACCAATTAACAGATATTTCTTCAATTTTATTCATTTGCTTGTACTTGCAAATAGCACTTTATTTTTGTTTGTTAGATTAATTTAAATAAGAGCAGCTGTTTAATTTGAAGCTTTTAAGTGTAGGTTGTCTTTCTTGTGATAAAAGAAAAACTTTAAAAAATGTCTTGTTAAAACACTTTCCATAAATCTTTCTGCTGTTGACAGGCCATGTATTAGAATTGCACTAGATCTCAGATACGTTTTTTGGAACAGATCCTTGGGGAACATAAAATGGTTTAAATGGATCTCTATAAATTTACAGTAATTTATAAATTCGTCTATAATGAAGCAGAGTATTTACAGAACACTGCTAAAACTAGAATGTACTTTTCACAACTTTTCCAATAATCAATGCCTTTAATAATGTTATTTCTGAATTTTAGCTTTTCTAAAAAAAAAAATCAACCAAAAAACAAAACTCCACACCCTCATTAATCTTTGAATCTTTGGCTTGACAGAGATAAAATCAGAAATCATTGTTATTGGTGATAATATATTTATTTTATTTTTTTTCTGCAACTTTAAAGGCTACGATGGACAATTGTTCTTGTAGAGAACAATGCATTTGTTTTTAAGACAATAATGGGCTAAGGCATTATTGCCTTCTAGTCCAAGCAAGTTACTGGACTAGCAGGTGTTTAGAATAGCTGAAGATGTCTTAGCTGGTCAGAGAGAGTCAGCATATTTTAATATTTACCAAATCTATGAGCCTGAGCTCTTTTGATATCAAAGATTTCTATAAAGTATTTCTAAGGTCATGACACCACCAATAAAATTTGCATGGGCAGATGGGCAGTGAGGTAAATGAAATTACTTATTGAGAGGTATATATATATATATATATATATATATATGTATGTATATATACATGTATACATATATTGATAGTCTTAAATAAAGAGGTGGGTAAAATAGCTTGCATTACAAAGGGACATATTTAAAGACAATTTCCTTAGAGCTTTCCCTAGAATAGGGCCTTCAATGATTTCTAGGTCTGCAGTTGCCTGAGCAGCTGTTTGCTTTGGTGAAAGATGAAGGTCTCATCCTTCTTTCCTCCTTACATCTCATCTCTCCCACTCTTCATATAAGGAGGAAGAAGAGTTATGAGCAGGATCTATTAGTTTTGATTATACCAAGGTGGTAAAGCATTTGATATTGTCTATTAGAATTACATATTAAAGATGCATAATGTCTATTAGAATTACATATTTAAGATGCATGTTTGTTCTTGACTTCAGTCATTTACCTCTACTTGGGAATGACCTAAGAAATTTTGAAGAAATTTTGGTATAGATGGTCAGACAGGTCTAGGAGAAGTAACTGGAAGTCAGTACTTACTATCCCAACCCAGTGGTATGTTTGGTACTAAATTATTCTGTTGAATATTGATTGAAAGGACAGGAATAAGTTTGAGCCCTTTCTCTCTGGGATCATAATAAACTGGGGGAACACAGTGGGCTGGGATTGAAACCCTGTCTTCATTAAATCCAACAACAAAACTCTCCTTCAAGTTGAGGTATTGCTAGCTCTTCTTAGTGATAGAGCAAAACATATATGTCTGGATTTAATACCCTGTCAGTCTCAGCACACTGCTCTGCACTTTGCCAAGCAGAATCTCACCTCCTGGCATTTTGTAGAGCAGAAGCAAATGCCTAGGCTTAGAAAGAGAAACCATAGCCAGACATAAAATAGGGCTAGTAAATGTGATATTACCTCCTGGCACTCACAGCATGAGCTAGAAAATGGAATGAGGAGGTCTGAGAGCAAGGAGGCTTCAGATTGTGCATAAGTCTATTGCTGAATTCCCATTTGGAGAGCTCCATGTAATGACACAGCAGAGTAATGTAAATGCTGAGATCAACATGCTAAGTGTAAGTTTGTTGAAAAGTCTGCAATTCTATCAGAATCACTGAAGCTGTTTGCATGTTTTTCAACATACTGCTTTAGTCTTCTATGTTAAAATTATCAGAATGGCTACGGACTTTTAAATGTTATTTCCTTTAATTCTCAACACTGGAGGCTAGCTGGTAGTAAGCAAGGAGGAATTCTGTGCAGTGCTGGTTTTTCCATGCTGAGCTCCTACTCTAGTTTTATACCTCCATTGAAAGGATTTATAGGTGAAAGAATTGTTTGTTTACATTTCTTGCAGCACAATATTTTACAAAACTCTAGTTTAATTCTTGGTTTTATAAAGCAAGAACCTTTGCAAAGAAGACTAATAATTAACAAAGAGAAACACAACATAAAATCTAAAACAAATTAACATTTCTCTTGAACCCCAGGGACACAATATTTCCCTTTATTCCTTTTCACTTGACACACTGTAGAATCACCTTGGATGTAGTTGTGTCAGGGCAAGACTCAATGATATCTTTTACAACATTGGTTGCTTCAGCTTTCTGCTTGTCATGGAAAAATGATTTTTGTAATGGTCTCTCCACCTCATGCTGATATACTGTTTGGGACACTGCATAAGGGAAATGCAGCTGAGGGTCAAACTAAATATGACTCTGATCTGGAGCCTGGAAGATGTGGCTTTAAAAAACATTTTTCTCCTAAAGCATATTAGGATTGTTGTGGACTACCTAGCTTGGTAAAGCAGGAAGTATTATATTTTTATATACTTATGTTTAAAATTCAAAGGTTTATAAAGGCTTGTTATTACAGGTAACTTAGTTGTTCTAAATTCTAGATACTGTACAATTTTAATCATCCCTTACTTAATGTGAACTTGAAAAAATAATAAAACTTTCTGTTTGATTTAGCATCATTGTTATTGGTGATAATATATTTATTTTGTTTTTTTTCTGCAACTTTAAAGGCTATGATAGACAATCACAGGCATATAAGTTGCCCCTCCATTTTCAAGAATAAAGTGAATTCACTGATGATCATTAGTTATCATTATCTTCAGTACCTACCAGTGCAGCAAAGAGCTGACTTGAATTTCAGCATCAGTAAAGAATGATAGATATTCTCCATTAAAGACAAGCTACAAAAGAAAGAAAAGACTTTCTTGGTCTCTTGTTCCAAGGAGACAAGAGTCTGTGCAAACCTTGTAATAAATACAAATCACCTCTTTTGCAGTGCTGCTTCACCTGTGCCATTCAAGGCCTCTGCCATTGCAGGGATGCTGCAGTCAGGGAATCTTTTCTTTCTCATCTCTGCAGAATAATTACTTTGGGAGGCTACACAAGCACACTGTAGACATGCTATTTGGGACTTACAATCTTTCTGCCACAGGTAGCTGAGACTCCCCTGTAAGGTCTTAAGGGTCTTAAATCCTGTGTAAATTCTTCAATCATTTACAATCACTTTACTGGACACAGAATTTAGCTGCTGTTCTGGTCTCTCTGCTACATGTTTGAGAAGTGCAACACGAGCCTGTCTGGGAAATGTCTTTGCACCCCTTTAGTCCAGGTGTATTTCTTCATGCTCTGTAGTGAAAAAATGAGGGTGTCTGTTGAACCTACAGAAGCTTCTAGGATGCCCTGGACCTTACGTGAAGCTGCAAGTTAAAGGGTGTGACTTGATCCAGTATTAATATCTCATCTCTGTCATTTACTTATGTAGGGAATCTCATTCACCACAGCAGACTATCCCCAGCCACTGCTCTGGCTTATACAGCTCTTTTCAGCCCTGCAGCTCTTGAACCCAGTATTTAGGAGCAAGGACAAAACATAGAACACCATTATCTGTATTTGATTGCTTCAAATAAGAAAAAAGTCTTGTAATTCTTTTTGGTAATAGTGATTGAAAGGATCTATCTGGAAGTAAATTTATGTGTCAGCATCCTTATATTTTTACCCTAAAAAAAATAATTATTAATCTATTATACTAGCTGCACTTGCCAGCAAATTTGTAAGGTGACAAAAACCCTACAATCTAGTGAGACAGAAAGGAAAAAGTAAGGTAAGGAATAAGGAAACCAGAAGGAATTCTGCTGAAAATGTATATAGATAGAAAGTATTCCTATATATAACAATATAGCTTCTAGAAGACAAGCTTGCAATGCATGCAAATATGTAATTCCAAATGGATAACCAAAAGGTAATGGCACTTCAGCATGGGCTGAAGGTAACAGACCACTTAGAGGCTGTGTAATTCATGCTGAAAGGATATGCATTTGATGGTGTATATGCTGTCCAGGATTTGTAGGTGGTCAGACCTTGAGGAAGAAGAGGAAGAAGAGTTCTTGTGCTGACATGAAGAAAGGACATAGTTTTAAAGGCAGGAAATGTTCTTGCAAAACACGAGACTGTACTTACCTCAGACTTAAGTAGAACATGCAGGCCAGATGTTTAAATTGCTGTAAATATAAGTTAAAAATTTTAAAAGAGTAATACTAATTTACTGTGGCTGTCCTTTTTATAAAGGAAAGTAGTGTCAGCAACAGCAGGAAGAAACCAAAGGAACTGATTTGTCCATTGCCAGAGCAAAGCTATATATCTGACAACTGCTTGTTGATTCTCATGCTGTCTCACAGGTAAAGAATGTGTGTGAGGCAAACCCCCAAAGAAGAAAGTGTTCTCTGACAGAGCTTCCTCACACCCCAGCTTCTTCACCACCCACAGCATGGTTGCTCCCATATTCTGTCAACTCCTCCAAATGTGTGAGGCAGTGGGAACAACCAAAACTCATAGTTAGAACTCAAAGAGTAAACGTTGCTATTAGCTTTCTAACCAAGGTAACTCAGCCCAAGCTAGAAGATCACTGACCTACTGCTCACACAGGTTTAGCAAAAATTATTTGCAGCTGCAAGGTCACTCCAGTGTTTTATATTCCACATTGCCATTGTTCTGTTCCTAACCCATTCCTCCTAACACCTTTCCTCCCCTGCTGGAAAATTACAAGAAGCAGCAGCAGAGAACATATTTTTTAATGAAAGAAGGTTCCTATAAAAAGAATGTTTTATAGCCTGTTCCTTATAAAAAGGTAAAAAAGAAGAATATTTCTGTAAAAGAAAATGAACAAAAGACTTTTCAGCATTTCATTTGTTCATGCTATACGAGTTTTCCCCACTCTAAAATACTGAAAATAAGTCTGCACTAACCCTGCTCTGCTGTATTTGTAAACATGTACATTGGTACTATTTTGTTTGGCTATAAAAGAGCAGTAAAAACAATCTATCAGTTCTATAAATCTTGTAAGTATTCTCTAACAGAATCTATTTTAAATATTGTGAAACAGATGCAAATACTTTGTTCTCAGTTCAAAGGCATGTCTTTAATTCATCTCTAGATCTTAACTTTGCTTTCTCCAATTCCTTGTTAACTCCCCTTCTTTCTCTGGAGCTGGTCTGATTTTTGGCATCAAAAGATTCAAGCTTCAAAGAGTCAGAGGGTCAGATTGTTTTATATACACGCAGCTGTCCCTAAGGTCAGTTTTGTCTTTTAGACTTCCACCTTCTACTACAAAGCTCAGATACTCAGAGGCAATAGTTTAGTCTCCATTTTAAGTTACTGATAAGCCTGAAAATTGGATATTTGTATTTTATTCACTCATCTCTTGATCACAGAGCAGTGAAATGCTTGAGATAGATAAAAAAATTATGGAACACAAGAACCGAGCTGCCCAGGGGGGAAAAAAATGGGCAAACAGTTCTGCAAAAGGGAAAAAAGTGATGAGAAAGCTGAAGATAATCCTTCAACCACTAACAAAGAGAAATTCTTCTCATATAAAAGCACCATAGTTAATTCGTCAAACGCCCCCATAATTTGGAGACTGTTGTGAAACATGCAAAGAGGCCAGAATGGACAAAGTGGCTTCTCAGGACTGTAAAATAAGCATATAAATTGACAAAAGACATAGCAATTTTTAAAAAAAGGAGAATATGAAAGAAGGGAAATGTTACAGCGCTACTTAATATATTTTGAGAACAAGGCAAGAGAAGAAATTCATAAGTAATTTGAAAGGATGAAAAAATGATCCAAATATCAGACTTCCCAAAAATATCAAAAACAGTGTGACTGTAGTTTAACTTATTTGATATGCTATAGAAATTTTTAACTATCCAACACTTACAAAATGTAAAAAAAAAAAAAAAAAAAAAAAAAAAAAAAAAAAAAAAAAAAAATTATCAAAATTAGATTGCAATGGGAAACCCTAGAGATCCAGAGCTTTCTCCATGAACAGTATCACAAAGCAGAATACCTGCTAAGTTTCTCATTACTGAAAATGAATTACTGAGAAGGAAGAGAATTGCTTTCCCAGTTCCTTTTGTCCCTCTTACCTAAGGAAGAAAGTTTCTAATTTCCTGGTTTTCAAGTCCCAGCTCCAGAATGTTCCACCTTTCAAATACAAAGAGAATCTGACAACGAGGTCCTTGGGATCCAAGGATCCTGGCAAGCAGATCAGTCAGGACACTGAGGAGCTAATTTCCAGAAGAGCAGGGTTTGTCAGCATCACACTAAGCAGCAGCTGGACAGTGAACCAGACAAAACCCTTCCTGGCAGAGGACAGAGCTCCTCAGACCACTGCTGGCACTGTCTCTTTCTCACAGAACAATTTGGTGCTGATGGACTGACATATTCTGTAAAAAAAGCTACTATATCAGAAGATCTTCTGGCAATGTAAATTCCCAGTCAATATTCTGAGTGGCATAAATGTGGTTTTAAACAGGTGTGACCAACAATGTTCCTCATAAAAACACTTGGAAAGATAAAAGAAACAAATGAGAGTAATACTTTATAAGAGAAAATAAGTGAAATATGTTTTCCCCACGTATCAAGACTACAACAAATGGCTGGAAAAAAAACAGGCAAAACATTTATTTGAATAATCAGCTGTGCATTGTGCTACCAATGACATTTGAAAAGGGACATACTAATATTAGCCTATACAATGATCTCTAGGAAATGCAGGGAGATTCTTATAAACATTGCTAGTCTCCTGTTAAAGGAGAAAAAAAATATGCTATATAATAGGGACAAGAATTACACATGACCAAATACTTCACTGCTCTATTTTCATTCTAATTCTCTGTTTGCAATAGTTGATTCTGGTATCAAAAACCCAGAGCACAACAGAAGAATTGTGGCAGATATTTTATTATGATGAATTTGCATTGAAAGTACACTATCCTTTTAAGAGCTTTTTTCCTTTTTTCCAAGGTACTTGCCTGTTCTGAGTGACTCCTCTGTAGCTAAAATGTAGTAAATTAAAAATATTTAACTTCATAATTCACATTCAGGTAAAAATTGTCTCAATCACTTTAAACTGAAGAAATAGACACACTAAAAATTTTTAAAGGCCATTTCATAAGCAAATTCTTGTCCATTATATTTCATCTGAGAGGAGTAAATTAAAAATAACTTGGAAAATATTTTTCAGGCAATTTTCAGAAAATTTCCTTCTTATTTGCATTCACCGCATGTTTTAGAATAACTAAACCATGTAGAAGGTGATTAGTTGTATGATTTTATGGAATTTCCAGACCTCTGCATGGCATTAACTCTTCTTTTTTTTTTATTTGCACAGTCTTCCACAGCCCTCTACTTAACTGATATGGTCTCCCACATCAGCAAAACTATTTACAGGAATGTAACTGAGAAATAATTTACAAGGTCAAATGGAATTAAAATTAATCTGGCTAAATTAGAAACATTTTTAATTTCTTCCTATGAGGAATTTAGACCTTTGTGTCTTTCTTGGGTATCCATATGTTTATTTTTCAATTCTTAAATCTTTTGACATTGTTTAAAATTGTTTTGTTACCAATGCATAGTGTGCTGTGATTTCAAATAAAAATGGGAAGATACTGTTTCAGTAAAAGTCCACATTTATTTGTTAGCAGATCAAAAAAAGTAACTGAAACATGGTTTTATAATAACAGCAACAAAATATTTTGAGTTTGACTGCTAAAACAAGAGTTGTTTCATTCAGTTAAAAGAGACACAGATTATTCAACACCAAACAAGAATGGGTGTCTAATTCCTCATTAGGTTTTTCTTCAGGGTGAAATGCATGGTGCCTCTATTATAAGAAATAAACTAGATATTAAGAAAAACAATGAAAATGTGCATTATCTGTTCAGTTCTAAGACTTAGATCATCAGCCAACAGAGAAGTTATTGAAATGAACTTTGAATTGTCTTCTCTAAGAAGGATTTCACTTGGAAAATATGGCAAAGTTTTATTGTTCCGGAAAGTAATGAAATATGATCTGATGAGATACAAAAAAAAAAAAAAAAAAAAAAAAAAAAAAAAAAAAAAAAAAAAAAAAAAAAAAAAAAAAAAAAAAAAAAACAAAAAAAAAAAAAAAACCAAAAAAAAAAAAGACACCCTGTAAATTAATACTTTTGTATTACAGCCTAAAATATATTTCATCAGTCAAAGCAGTCCTAGCAGATGGATATAACCATAAAACAGGGCAAATTTCTGTTATTAAGCAATTAGATAATTGGCTTGCTATTTTTCCCCTGCCAGAGAAGGAGTCATAAAAATACAAGATTCTTATAATAAAAGACAGTAACGTCATAATATTAAAAATACACTCACCCTTAGCATTCCAGGTAATCTGTCCTTCACTGGACTTTATCTCTGCTTCTTTCCCTAGGATCTCAGGAGATTAGTGACAGTTTGTCCCAAAGAATTGTTAACCTTTATGCCCTGTTAGGAATTGGAGGAACAGAGGAACAGAGACCTGGGACCTGAGTTATTGGTTCACCTATTTCAATTCCTGATGTGCTACACAGTAGAAATATTTTTTTCCTCTCCTCAGACAGGAGGTGGCAAAAGCATCATATCTTACCAGTAGGGTTGCAGTTTCTGCTCTGTGGGATGTTACACAATTGAGAGTCCCTGATCCTTGTTTTTGTTTTGCCCAAGATTGCACCTGAATTACCCTGCACTTATTTGCATTGATGCAGGCACAATGAGGACACAGCTCTGTGTGACGTGCCCGAGGACTGGTGCAATGCAGGGACACTGTCCTACACCACAGATAGTGGGGTTTGTTGCCATCAGCATTTTACAAATTTCCAACCTTTTTTTCAATCTTGCCTGTGCTCCATGCCATGAGCAGACAGTGTGCACACAGTGAGTGGCCCAGCACTGTACAAGGCACTTACTGGGAGGAAAGGCACCTCACTCCTGCATGGCATGGCTCAGAGAAGAGGAAGGTCACCAATGAAAGCCAAATATTGAGCTGCCACTGTCACAATACAAACGCTCCATAATAAATACAAATGAATTTAAGGGATACTGCACCTCTGCAGTCTTTTCTCTAGTCAGGACCCATTACAGTGAAAAATAAAGGAAGATGTGTACAGAAAAATTCTGTTCAGTCTTTGAATTCAGGCTCAGATTTGGAAAGAGAATATCTGCAGATTTTAAGTCATCACGTTGTATACGACAGCTCTTGTAATAAAAAAAATATTGGGGCAATGGAATTAACTGTCCAGGAGCATCTTAAGTGAACTTCAGTGCCCTTTAATCCTAATCTCGTTTGATAGAATATAAAAACACACTTCTTTTTAATGTGAAGTTTACAAAAGTTTTGCATTGTACTATATTAGGACAATGTATTTGAGCCACCCCAACAGGGAAACAGTCTTTTAAAATGTTAATATATAATAGATTGGCATTCAAATTTAATTTTTTTTCAAGCTTCAAGTTGAAGTATATATATCTTACAATACAACTGGTTTACTTACTTGCCACATTTGATCTACTGCTTGCTCACAGTAAGCAACAGGCAGGAATAAGTCTTGATTTACCAAAGGGTAAGGAAGAGGAATATCAGATCCACACGCTGAAGAGCCAAGTCTAGCCAAACTTGAAGAAGCTTGGCTTGCTTCAAGCTTAAATTAACCATTGGCTTGAGCAGGTATTCAATCAATTATGCAGAGAGTAAAACTTGTTGGATTACAATCTTAGATACTAAATCAAAATGTATTTTTAAAATGCATTTTAAAGCATTGTTGGCCCTGGAACAGTATTTTAGTGCAAGAAATGAGACTGTTACATCTTTCCCAGTGGAGCTGTCATCTCATTGATATTGACTTGTGTTTCCCAGCTGCAGACAGAGTAGGACTGACAAAATTCAAGTCTCATTGAATTTTCATGTCCCATTAGAAAATAGTAAGACTCAGAAAACCTCAAAGCCAATTTAACCTTAAACCTATAGATAATAAAAGTATTCAATGCTTTCTTTCAATCTTGAAATAAAGAAATGACATTTACTCATTAATATTTTAAATTAGCCCCCTCTCTCTGCTAAAGAAATCCCTGGGGTCCCTCAATGATGAATCTTGCAAGATAATGCTGTATGATAAATAATTCAAATGGCTGTTCTTCTCCCAGCTTCTCTTCTTCTTAAGAAGTATAACTTTAAGTTTGCAATATGGCATATCTAAAAACATGAACCAAAATCAGTGAAGACTGTAAAACTTGAACCTGGCTGGTTTTATGCTTCCTGTTTTGTTCAGCTTTGTAAATCCATCATATGAAAATTGTATTTTTTTTTGGTTAATTATACATGAACAAGTGGCAATGAAAATACATATTCAATTCATTGCAAGAGTATGATTTTAATTTAAGGTACAGTTGTTTCAGAGGATTAACTGGGAATGGAATTGCAACATGTTTTCAAATAAAAATAGCACAATTACAGTTCTAAGGAAATGGAAAGAGGAAAGATAAATGTGGCTGTATTGATTTGCTTTAAATTTTTCTATTCATTTCCTTACAATGTAGATACCAGAACTCAGCAAACCTAACCAAAGATGTGAAATGAAAGGACAAAATGAGTTCTTTCTTAAGGACCTTTTATTAATCAGAAAAGCCAATATAGGCAAATTAAAATTCCTGCTCAATACAAATTTCAATCAGAATGTGAGCATTCAGTTCAAAAAATTAATGAAACTGTCAACATAAGCAAAACAGAAATAGTCCTTTTCTTTCTTCTTTTTTTTGTAGATCTTAGGGGTATAACAATGCATTTCTCTTTAACTTCCACAGACAGTAGTTATCAGCCTTTGCTGGTAATTTTCTCAATGTGTATTATCAGCAGAGTATGAACATCTTTCATTTCACTTTTAGAATGCTTGTTTTTATTATTTTTTTAAATTAAAAGACATTTTGGTAAATATAATTGCAGAAATGTTATATAAGAAAGACCTAGTATGCTTTTTATAGTTCCTTATTCTTTCAGTGTTACTTACAAAGTGAAGTATGTTTTCATTGGACTCACTCTCTGTGTACAATGCATTAGTTTGGATTTTTTCAGCACAGTTCTGAAATTGATCGAGCAAAAGAATTTACATCTTTTTTTCTCCAAGAGATTAAATGAGGAGGGACTGATGTGTGTGCACTCCATGCAAAACAGGTCTTTGAAGTACCACTGGAATTGTTGTGACTACAACCCCACATTCTCATTGCAGATCGTCATTTCCCTAATCCAGAGGGAGGGTTGGGGGTATGTATATTCATTTTAGTTTGGACCAGAGCAGCACCAAGACCCATCTGGGATGTATCAGCACATTCATGAATATGGGTCAGGATCAGGCCTGGCACAGGGCCCATGGTCCCAGCATGTGCCTTCCACAGCAGAGGAGCTCAAGTCTTCTAGCAATTGCTCATGTGGCCATTCCTTCACTCAATTCCATCTTGGGTATTCTTCAACAAAGAGGATTTTGGTTACTGGAGAAAGCACCAGTGAACTTTTAAGAGTCAAAGCATGACTGGGCTGTGTGGCCCCTGACCCCATGGATAATACCTTGCCTTGTGTCAAGGCATTGTTTCAGAGCAGAATGGACCTGAGGCTCACGAAAAGATTTCTTATTGAAGTGTTAAATTATTCAGCAGGCATCCATCACTTAAAGTGAAAAGGATTAGCACAAAATGATAGTTCAGCAAACAGGTGTTTGAAATCTTTCACTTAGTTTTCAAATCTCAATTGGGTCACACGACAATCATTTCTCCTTCTCAATAAAGGAAGAGCATATAGAGATTTTGATGAGATTACAGTTATGATCTTGCATAAAAAAGCCTTGTCTCCTGCTTGCAGTTCCATAAACCAGAAGCATTAATTAATTGAACTATACTTGCACATCTGCAATTAGTTTTGATTACTAGAAGAAGCAAAACCAGATTCATGTTCTTAATTTGGAATCTGAGGGAAACTGTTCCAATAATACACCACTAATCCTTTTTAGTGAAGGTTGAGAGGCGTTGTTTTCAGGGCTAATAACAAGATTGAAGTAACATATTATAATTAAATTTTCAATTCCTACTGGAGAGTGAGGGGTTAGTATTTTCGCAGTGTCATCCTTATTCTTATAAAACACAGGTAGAAGAAAATATTTTTATTAGTAAAACAATATATACTGAGATTAATGAGTCATCTGAAAGTTCATAAAATTAGTTGCCATAAACCAGATTAAATTTAATGCAGATTGTGTGTGTTTCCCATTTTTATAGTTATCTGATTTACATTTTTCTTTCTTCTTTTATATTCTTTTAAAGTAATGTTTTTGCAAGGTTCTGAGGTAAATGCTCTTCTGTACTCATTTTTATTATCTTTTTCTATGAAGAACTGACAGATGCCTAATAAGAAGTGGACATCTGGTTTATATACAAAAAGGCACAATCAATTTAGACTACAGTTTAAAAGTACATAAAACAAATTTATCTTACTAATGAGTTTTAATAGTTTTGTATTTTGAGCATCATACATTTGAAATCTTGATAGTTAAATGTGCATTTTGTTAATGAAATCTTCCCCTTGAAACATTAAAACAAGCAACTTGTAGTTTTTGTAAAAACTCCTCAGTCATGTTTGGAGAGCTGTTTCACTTTGGCTTGGGTTTGTAGATTTTACATATATATTTTTAAAGTTATTTTAGCTTTCAAAATATTATTAATAATAATCATTATTATTCAATATTGATTTGTCTGAACAAGAATATTTTTTTTCAATTCTGTCACCATGTAACAGTTGTTAGTTTTTTTCCCTTCTAATGTTGCCTTTGATTCCAAGAGATGCACACAAAAAGGCACACAAAAAGTAAAAATAGCCATTGTAATACATGGAGATAATACTAGGGAGATATTTTTGTTTGTTTGTTTATTTGTTATTTTTTTCTCTAATAAAAATGTGATAAGAAAATATCTAAGTTAATCAAACTGAGGGATATAGATTGGGTACTACATCTAAAAGATTTTTTATTCTCTACATTGAAAGCTCTTCTGTATTGAACCCAGGTTCCAAGACTTTATATTACAGACAAAATGGGAGAGAAACACATCCAGGCTATATCTTGGCAGTATGTCACATATATGGTTGCAGCAGGGGTAAGAGGTAGACTCATTGGCACTGGATAGAAATTGTTGTGATCTAGTGGCGACTGCCTTTTGGCAGAGACATTTCATGTTGTCACAGTAGCCTGAGTTTTTGCTTGAAGGCTGAAAGAATTAATGTACTCATCATGGATATCACTGCTAAAGAAATTAAAGCAAATTCAGATAGCCTAAGAATCCATACTCAGTACTAGGCAGAAACAAGTACAGAAGTGGTCTTTAACCACATTATCCCAGCTGTATGAAAAGCTGGTGTCCAGAACAACTGTATTTCCCAACCATAACCATTCCTTAATCCACTAGCAGAGACAAGCTGAGATGAATGCCCACTACTCTTTCAGTGCCACGAGTATAGCAAGAAATTTGCTTGCAGTCCTTAGCTATCCTCAGCTGCTTCTAGTGTCCCTGTCTTTCCATATTGTCCATACCCTTTCCTTCTACACACATCAATGCCCATATATATGTCAACACCCTCTTGCAGCGGGTTAAGAAACACTTCCCTTTTCTTTAG